TTCAAAAATATGTAAATGCCTTGAGCATATGTATTTGGATATGTAAATAGATTCTCCCTCTCTCTCTCTCTCTTGTATTGCTTTCCTTTGGGCGCCAGTGCCCTTGGCGGGACATCGCGCTTTGTATTTACAGTTGAAAAAAAAAAAAAATACCACTTTGAAAACACCGGTTCTCGTCCGATCACCGAAGTTAAGCAACGTCGGGCCCGGTCAGTACTTGGGAGGGTGACCACCTGGGAGACTGGGTGCTGTAAACATTTCTTATTTTTTAATAAATATTTCACATATATTGAAAAAAATATGTATTTTTTGCATTTTTCAAATCATTGCATATTTGAAGAGAAAGGCACCCCAGATTGTGCAACTAAAAGTTTCTAATGCCTTGCACCATCTGTCAGAATAAATATAAACTAATCGTTGATTTTTAATTATTCCAGAATTGGCCAAATACATATCCTTGATTAATCAACAATAGCAATGTTACAATAACAATCACGTAAGCGTTTAAGGATATTGGCTCTCATCAACATGGTGCAAGCTGTACCTCAGTGACCCAAAAAACTGGTCAAGAGATGCCTTTTTATTTATTTATCCTTCTAATACTAGAACAATTTAACTTTTTACTATATTTTCAAACTCCGCCTTTGCCAGTCCCAAGCCCGGATGAAAAAGGAGGAGGGGGAGCAGTAACAAGCTCGCTAAAAAACCTGGGCTCAGTTGGCCCGGCTGATATTACCCTGTAAGGGCTCCAGGGATACAAGATGAGTTTGTACTCCATGTTAGGAGTGGCTGCACAAGGCATCTGTTCCTCATGTCAGAGGCGGCCATTTCTTTTGGAGCTAAGTCGGCCTGCTACTGAGTAGTGCTCCCAGTCTTAATGACAAAGGCAGACACATTCTACTTCACCCTGTGTGGAGATAAGAAAGAAGAAGACTATATTTTCATATTCTTCAAATATTATTTTTTAATCACCTTTTACATATACAATTATTAATATTTAAATACCCAGCTTAAAACAATAAACACTTTCATATAATTTCCAATTTTGGAATTTTAGAGCTGAGACAGAAGTACGTGTGTTAAATAAGTACTTTTTTAAAAATTATTTCTATAGAGGCAAAGAATTCATTCCCCTGAGGAAGGTAATTCACCAAGGGAAACAAAGAATATATTACAAAATCGCCTACTTATTATATCAATTGTATTATGGCAGAGTTTGACTGGACTCTACTGAAGACTGAAAATATTTGTATCCACTCCGTCTTAGGTTATTCCTGTCCAAGATTGATCTTGGTCACGTTCTTGTTAATCTCTGGTATCCAACATGTCTTCAATGCCGGGAAGAGTCACAAGCTGTCTCCTCTTCTTCTGTCCAGCCTTTATACTACACAGGCTACAAACACTACTGAAGACTGAAAATATTTGCATCTACTCCGATCCATCTTAGGTCATTTCTGTCCAAGATTTGTCTTGGAATGGCCACCACTACTATCCTTACTGGTCACATTCTTGTAGATCTCTGGTAACCAACATGTCCTCATTTCTGGGAAGAGTTACAAACTGTCTCCTCTTCTTCTGTCCAGCTTTTATACTACACAGTCTACAAACACTAATTGGAGTACAAGGCTTCAGTCCTATCTCTAGAATGTAGGATGAACCGACAAGCAGCAACCTATATTTCCAGGCTCAAAACTGGCCATACAAGACCACTCCTCTTCCAAGATGGTGTAAAGACCTTCCCACAAAGCATCATCTGCAGGACCAGAGAGGCCTCACCAGACCACCTCTTGGAATATGGAATGTATGTACAGGACCTGTATCCCAACCCGGCCAGGATTGTGAATTTGATCAATGAATATAATCTCCATGACATAAGGTAATAAGACCAAATCCGAATAAATAAATAGTGTGTGACATTTCGGTAACAATGCTGTCACTGAAACGTCACACACTATTTATTTATTTGGATTTGGTCTTATTACCTTGTGTTTATAATCTATAATCCAAATTGTGCCTTATCAATCTCTATGACCTTGTATAATTATACATTGGGATAATAATAAAAATAAAGAAAGTCCTGCCTCTACTTCCTGACTTGGCCTGACACTACCTGGTTCACCGCAGAAATCTGTTCTCCCCATGTCTAGACTTCTACACTGTGGCAGCCCAGGTAGTTGGTGATTTATGCTCCAGACTCTTCAAAATGTTTGACTTTATAGGTGTTGACATAGCTGATGGTCACTGCCGGGAACTACCTGGTTCACCGCAGAAATCTGTTCTCCCCATGTCTAGACTTCTACACTGTGGCAGCCCATGTAATTGGTGATTTATGCTCCAGAAACTTCAAATGGTTTGACTTTATAGGTGTTGACATAGCCGGTGGTCACTGCTGGGAACTACCAGGTTCACTACAGAAATCTGTCATCCCCATGTCTAGACTTCTACACTGTGGCAGCCCGGGTAGTTGGTGATTTATGCTCCAGAAACTTCAAATAGTTTGACTTTATAGGTGTTGACATAGCCGATGGTCACTGCCGGGAACTACCTGGTTCATTGCAGAAATCTGTTCTCCCCATGTCTAGACTTCTACACTGTGGCAGCCCGTGTAATTGGTGATTTATGCTCCAGAAACTTCAAATGGTTTGACTTTATAGGTGTTGACATAGCCGATGGTCACTGCCGGGAACTACCTGGTTCACTGCAGAAATCTGTTCTCCCCATGTCTAGACTTCTACACTGTGGCAGCCCGGGTAGTTGGTGATTTATGCTCCAGAAACTTCAAATGGTTTGACTTTATAGGTGTTGACATAGCCGGTGGCCACTGCCGGGAACTACCTGGTTCACTGCAGAAATCTGTTCTCCCCATGTCTAGACTTCTACACTGTGGCAGCCCGGGTAGTTGGCGATTAATGCTTCAAAAACTTCAAATAGTTTGACTTTATAGGTGTTGACATAGCCGGTGGTCACTGCTGGGAACTACCTGGTTCACCGCAGAAATCTGTTAGCCCCATGTCTAGACTTCTATACTGTGGCAGCCCAGGTAGTTGGTGATTTATGCCAAAATGCCCAAGAAAACTTGCCAAACCACTCAAACTGGCCCTGCTCCCACCTGCAAGGACTTTAGCGCACAGACCGAGCCCATCAAGCCTGCCACCCCCACTCCAGCTGCTGTCCCTGTGGCAGCACCTGCTCCCAAGAAGCCAGATCCTGCTCTAACCAAGCAGCCAGGGGCGTCAACCCCGCCCGCTAAGAGGACCAAACCACTGGTTCCAGCCAAGCTTGCATCTTTCCGCGCCCCCAAGCCTGCCGTTGCCAAAGGCACCCTCAATGGAGAGAAATCTGCGGCCCACATCATGGTTATTGCAGATAACCCGCAGGCTGACCCACGGGACATCCTCAAAGCTGTCCGCACTGCCCACACTTTGCCCCAAGGCTTCTGGGCGTCTCTGTGCACCAGGGGAAAACTGGTGATGCACTTCAACACTCCAGAGGCCATTCCTGCCGTCAGCTCTGCCCTGGACAACAAGCTCCAAGGCCTGAAAGTCTGGGAACTGAGACAATTCCTCCCAAGAATCTGCCCTCTTCAACGTGGAGGCGGAAACCGCGGATGAGAACATTGTCAAGGCCTTCCTCTCCACCGATGCCCTCAGCCAGCTTCCTGGAGACAAGTCTGTCCGAGTGGCACACAGATCTCCGACCAGAAATGGCACCTGCATGGCCTTCATAGAGCTGGACTTGGCTTCCTACAAGGCCATTGGAAGACGCGACAGGATCATTGTGGACCAAGTGATCCTGAACTACGGGGAGTCTGTCAGCGTCAGCTACCGCTGCTGTAGCTACGGCCACAACACCGATAGATGCACCAAGGCTACGGTCACCTGCTTCCACTGTGCTTCTGGTGACCACCAAGGCCGCAGCTGTCCAACTCTTGCCAACCCGCGCACGGCCAAGTGCGCCAACTGCTCAGCCAAGGGCCTCTCTGCCGACCACGAGGCAAGATCAATGTCTTGCCCAACTGCCAGAGCTAGAGCTGCAAAGTTCTAGTTCTCCCGCCTGCCTCCTGACCTCCGCGGACCCAATCCGGCTTAACCTGCCTCTTCCCTGACGGAGATCCTGTCCCTAGCCTCTCCAGCCTGGTCATAGTGGTTTTATATATTCTGCTTTATGCGGCCATTGGGGCTCAAAAATCATTTATTTTGGTTAGCAGCCCCGTAAATAAAGATATTTTCTCTTTTTTCCATTCTATTATTTCCATCCTTGATAACAATACCTATTTAAAGCATGCTATGGTAAAATTTCTCATTCAGTACTTTTGTCTGAAGATGGTAACAACGCTGTTACCGAAATGTCACACACTATCTATTTATTTGGATTTGGTCTTAGTACCTTGTGTTTAAAATCTATAATCCAAATTGTGTCTTATCATAATATTTTAAAAAGAAACTTTTTCCTGGAGGCTTAATGTTCTTATTTTAATATAGATTCAAGGGATTTATTTTATCGAATTATCATGTAGTGTTTTTACAACCTCCAATAATAAACTAACAAAACACACAACTCTGTAAATAAAAAAATTGAAGACAAAACACATTACATAAAAATAACTTTTATTTCAACTAAGAACAAAAAAATAAATGCTTCCACAAAGAAAAAAAAGTTCAAAATTTTACTTTCTACACAAAACATGAAATGGATGAAAACAACTGACTAAAAATACATCTATAATAAAACAATCCACATAAAAAAAAACAATAAATAGAATATATATTATTATATACTATATATATATAGAGAGAAAGACTTATAGATTACTTTAATGGGAAATATTTTTCTTAAATAGAGTTTTTAAAATATATTCTTCAAGAAATAGCATCCTTTGTTTAAAAAACAAAACCTCTGTATGGATGTGTCTGTCCATTTTAAAAATTCTGTAGGAAGATTTGAGGGGAAAAGGTCGACTTTACAACAATCTGTGTCTCTATGGGGAATGTGTTTGTTTACTGCTTAATCCAGTGTTATTGGGGACAATACAGATAGAATGGAAAAGAACGTATTTTTCTTAAGTAGAACTCTTGTTTAGAACACGTTCACTACTGGCCAACTGAAGTCCTGATAGCTATAATACCATAATGACATGTTTGTTTGTAAAACGACGATTGACAAAGTTTTTACCTCAAATGTTTCTTTTGAACGAAAAATCGTAATTTAAGGAGAAATAGCGACTATTTCTATCCTTAAGGATGAAGTATGAAAGAATGAA